TGATCGTGAGCATTTCTTCATATGTTTGCTGGCCGCTTGAATATCCTCCTTGGTGAAGTGTCTATTCATGTCTTCTGCCCATTTTTGAATTGGATTGTTTGTCTTTTTCTTATTGAGGTGTTGAAGTGTTCTATAAATTCTAGAGATAAGTCCCTTGTCAGATATGTTATTACCAAATATTTTTTCCCAATCTGTGAACCTCGATAGTTTTAAACTAGAAACTTCGATATGTATAAAATCATAAATATTCCTAAAATTCTATAATTTATAAAGAATCAGTTGGAAATGCTGATCACAAAGAGTACACTTAAGATCTCACAGGTGGCTTTTAATTATCAACTCAATGCACAGAATAAGTAAAGGTTTCATTTTCCACTAACACAAACATATTAAAAAAATATTACTTACATCTCCTTTCAGCATGGACATTAAAAAATACTAATAATCAAATAGGAAACTTAGAAGCATATACTAACTCTCACTGCCGTTGAGTTGACTGCGTTGTGTAGATACCCCTCCTTGGGTTTCCAAGGCGGTATCTCTATGGAAGTACCTTAATATAAATTCAGTTCTATACAATATAAATGTACTGCACATAAATATGGTTAAGCAATCACTAAGAGCTTGGAGTACAAAGATAATTTCTGACCTCAGAGAGCTGAGAGTACAGAAGTATTATATATGAACTTTGAAAAGCCTTTAAATTTTAGAGTGCTTCTCCAATCAGTCCAAAAGGCCGGTGAACCATGGGTACCCCAGCCTATAAGAGCCTGAGATCAGAAGAACTAGATGATGCCCAGCTACCAATGCCAACCACTCAGAAAAGGATCAAAATTGAAGATCCTACACAGCAAAACCAAACCAAATTCACTGCCATCGAGTTGATTCTGACTCAGAGCAACCCCCTTTGGATCTCTGAGGCTGTAAATCTTTATGGAAGTAGATTGCCCAGTCCTCCCTTCCACTATCCTAGATAAAGTAGGAGAAAAATATGGAACAAAACTCAAAATCATAAAAAAAAAAAACAGGCTTACTGGTCTGACAGAGACTAGTGGAACTTCTGACTATGGCCACTGGTCATCCTTAAGGCCTAGAAATGAACTCACTCCCATGGCTACCTTCTAACCAAACAAAAGACCTTTGAGGTGAACAATTATACGTGGTGCGTGCCCTCACAATCAATCAAGGGAGATCAGAAGGGCAGCATTTGGGCAAGGAGAAAGCTCAGAGGACAGGAATGCATAGGAAAGGATACAGGTGAAAGGTAAACCACAGGGAGGAAGTGGGAAAAGAGCTGTTACACTGTGGGGATTCCAATCAATATCATGAAACAATGTGTATGACCTGTTGAATGGAAAACGAATTTGTTCTGTAAGCTTTTACCCAGTTCACAATTAAAAAATAAATAAATAAAATCAGTATTTCTCAAAGTACAGTCCATGAACAAGGTGTACCAGAAGCGTAAGAATTATCGAGTGCCTGTTAATAAAATTTCTGTGTTCCATCTAAAACTACTGAAACAAAGTAAGAGTCTACATTATTTGCAAATACCCTTGGTGACTGTTACTTACAGTGCCTTAAATATTAAAAGAAAATACTGCTACAAAATAGTAAAGGTGAAATACGACTCTTCTCATTATAAAGATTCTGACTTAAAGTTGATTTTTAACTATTAGGTTAAAATGCTTAATTGTTGTTGTTGTTGTTATGTGCCGTTGAGTCGGCCTGACTCATAGCAACCCCTCCTTGGATTTCTGAGGCAGTATCACTATGGAAGTAGGATTGCCCAACCTTCCTTCTGAGGAGTGGCTGGTGGGTTTGAACCGCCAGCCATCTGGTTAGCAGGCAAGTGTCTTAGCCACTATGCTACCAGAGCTCCCAAAAATGCTTAATTAGTCCTTTAAAATATTCTTATAATTCTTCAACTTTATACTGACAGTTGTTCATTAAAGTATATCTAATGAGATATGGTAAATTTAAGCAGACTTACAGTTGGTGATATCAGGTGGTGCATAGCCATCATTCATATACATACTTGTAGGTTTTGCCACTTTCAAGAAAACAAAATCTGATGTGTTCTTTAAGGCAGTTACTGCTTCTTCATGAGTAACTTCTTCTAAACATACACTATTCACCTAAAAGAAAATACCAAAAGACATTTAAGTTATTTCTTTTACCTGCTTTCTGCCATTTAGTTATAAATAATTACAGTAAAAGATGACAGGGAAAATGAAGGAGTGAATTAAAGACTATAAAGATGTGTAGAAAGAAAATAGCTGTTTTTATTGCCTAGGATGGTTGCCTGCTTTTTATACTTGGTTGTGGCTCTTTATTAAGGCTGGGACCTGAGGTAGATGGGCAAGAGGCTTGGAAGCTACTTTTCACTTGTTGGTGGCTCTGTATTAAGGCTGGGGCCTAAGGTAGGCAGATCCTGGTCTTGGAGGCTAATTTTTGCTTTGGTGTGGCTCTATGATAAGACTGGGGCCTGAAGGAGGCAGGTGAAGAGGGGTTAGGAACAACTAAGGGAGATGAATTTGTCTGACAGTTTGTCATTCTGTGGTGGCTTACGTGTTGCTGTGAGGCTGGAGCTATGCTACCATGTTGCAAAATGCCAACAGGGTTACCCATGGTGGAGAGGTTTCAGCAGAGCTTTTGGGCTTAGACAGACTCGGAAGAAGGAAGAGTCCTTCCAATTCTCAAACAATTGGCCAGGGAAAACTTTATGAATAGCAGTGAAACACTTTCTGATGTTTTACTGGAAAACTTTATGAACAGCCTTGAAACACTGTCTATATAGTGCCAGAAGATGAGGCCATCAGGTTGGAAGGCACTCAAAATTTGACTGGGGAAGAGCTGACTCCTCAGAATAGAGATGACCTTACAATAAGGATAGAGTAAAGCTTTCGAGACCTCCATTGGCTGATGTGGCATGACTCAAATTGAACAGAAACAGATGCAAACATCCACCAATAACTCGAACATGGAATGTATGAAGTATGAATCTAGGAAAATTGGAAACTGTCAAACATGAAATGGAACACATAAAGTTCGATATCCTAGGCATGAAGTAGACTGGTTTTGGCCATTCTAAGTCAACCATATGATCTACTATGCCGGGAATGACAAATTGAAGAGGAATGGTATGGCATTCATCATCACAAAGGCTGTTTCAAGATCTGTCCTGAAGTACAATGCTGTCAGTGATAGGATAATATCCATACACCTATAAGGAAGACCAGGTAATAATACTATTATCCAAATTTACACATAAACCACCAAAGCCAAAGATGAGAATATTGAAGATTTCTACCAACTTTTGCAGTCTGATCAAACAGGCAATCAAGATGTGTTGATTATCACTGGTGAAATGGATGCAAAAGTTGGAAACAAAGAAGAGTCACTGATGGAGATCGCATGACAGAATTTTGCAGGACCAATGACTTATTCATTGCAAACACCTTTATTCAATAACAGAAGTGATGACTATACACGTGGACTTCACCAGATGAAATACAAGAATCAAACTGACTACATCTGTGGTAAGAGGCGATGGAGAAGTTCAATATCTTCGGCTAAAACAAGGCCAGGAGCTGCTTGTGGAACAGACCATCAACTGTTCATATGCACATTAAAGCTGAAGTTGAAGACAATTACAACAAGTCCATGAGAGCCAAAATATGACCTTGATAATATCCCTCCTGAATTTAGAGACCATTTAAAGAACAGATTTGATGCACTGAACATCAACGACAGAAAAGCAGAGGAATTGTGGGATGACATTAAGAGCATCATCCACGAAGAAAGCAAGAGGTCATCAAAATGACAAGAAAGGAAGAAAAGACCAAAATGAGTATCAGAAGGGACCCTGAAACTTGACCTTAAGCGGAGAGTAGCTAAAGCAAATGGAAGAAATGACAACATAAAAGAGCTGAACAGAAGATTTCAAAGAGCATCTTGAGCAGACAAAGCCAATTACTATAATGAAATGTGCAGAGACCTGGAGTTAGAAAATCAAAAGGGAAGAACATGCTCGGCATTTTTCAAGCTGAAAGAAGTGAGGAAAAAAAATTTAAGCCTCAAGTTGCAATACTGAAAGATTCTATGGACAAAATATTGAATGATGTAGGAAGCATCAAAACAAGATGGAAGGAATACACAGAGTCACTGTACCAAAAAGAAATGGTTGATGTTCATCCATTTCAGAAGGTGGCATATGATCAAGAACCAATGGTACTGAAGGAAGAGGCTAAGAACAAGGCTCTGAGAATGGATGGGATATCCACTGAGATCTTTCAACAAACACATGCCCTGCTGGAGGCACTCAATCAGTTATGCCAAGAGATTTGGAAGACAGCTACACCTGGCCAATTGACTAAAAGAGATCCATATTTGTACCTATTCCAAAGAAAGGTGATCTCATAGAATGTGGCAATTATTCAACAGTATCATTAATATCACATACAAGTAAAATCTTACAGAAGATTATTCAAGAACGGTGGGAGCAATATATTGACAGGGAACTTCCAGAAATGCAAGCTGGATTCAGAAGAGGACATGGAAGGAGGGATATCATTGCTGATGTCAGATGGATCTTGGCTGAAAGCAAAGAATACTAGAAAGATGTTTACTTGTGTTTTACCGACTATGCAAAAACATTCGTTTTGTGTGGATCATAACATTGAGAATAATGGGAATTCCAGAACACTTGATTGTACTCATGAGGAACCTGTACATAGATCAGGAGGCTGTCATTGGACCAGAACAAGGGGATACTGCATGGTTCAAAATCAAGAAGAGAGTGAGTTAAGGTTGTATCCTTTCACTATACTTGTTCAACTTTTTTGCTGAGCAAATAATCTGAGAAGCTAGATTATATGAAGAATGTGGCATCAGGTTTGGAGGAAGACTTATTAACAACATGCGATATGCAGATAACACAACTTTGCCGAAAGTGAGGATGACTTGAAGCACTTACTGATGGAAGATTAAAGACTACAGTCTTCAGTATGGATTACACCTCAATAAATAGAAAACAAAAATCCTCACAACTGGTCCAATAACAGTTTCATGGTAGATAAAGAAAGACTGAAGTTGTCAAGGATTTCCTATTACTTGGCTCTACAATCAACACCAATGGAAGCAGCAGTCAAGACATCAGATGACATATTGCATTGGGCAAATCTGCAGCGAAAGACCTCTTTCAAGTGATGAGGAGCAAGGATGTCTCCTTGAAGACTAAGGTGTGCCTGACCCAAGCCATGGTATTTTCAGTGGCCTCTTATGCACGTGAGAGTTGGACAATGAATAAGGAAGACTGAAGAAGAGTTGATGCCTTTGAGTTGTGGTATTGGAGAAGAATGCTAAGAGTACCATGGTCTGCTAAAAGGACTAACAAATCTATCCTAGAGGAAACGCAGCCAGAATGCTCATTGGAAGCCAGAATGGCCACACATTGTCTCATCTACTTTGGTCATATTCTCAGAAGGAACCATTCCCTGAAGAAGAATATCATGCTTGGTAAAGTGGAAGGTCAATGAAGAAGGGGAAGGCCCCCAATGAAATGGACAGACACAGTGACTGCAACAAAGGGCTCAGGTATAGCAAAGGTAGTGAGGCTGCCACAGGCCTGGGCAGTATTTGTTTGCTGTGCATAGGGTCGCTATGAGTCAGAGATGACTCGATGGCATCTAACAACAACAAGGTGATTGCTAAGGAGCTCTGGTCATGTAGTGGTTAAGGCATTTGGGTACTAACCAGAAAGGTTGGTGTTTCGAACCTACCAACCACTCTGCAGAAGAAAGATGAGGCAGTCTGCTTCCCTAATGATTTACAGACTTGGAAACCCAATGGTGGCCACTATGTGTCAGAGTTGACTCAAAGGCATTGAGTTTCATTTTTTGGAAGATGATGATTAAGAGTCAGTATCTACTTGATGGCAATGAGTTAAGATAATATCAGGATACTATATGTAAAGTTGTTTATAGAATCTTGATTTCAGCTGCTATTCCTCCTATTTCCTCAGCCTGACCATTCTCCCATTCTTAAGCATTTAGCAATGTGTAGATATATTTTAGTACATATATTTTTTAAACAAATGAGATAACATTCAAAAATTTCTGTCCTGCAACTGGATTTTTAATGTATCTTAGAGATTTTTCCACACTGGGACATGTAGAAGTGCTTCATTTTAAAAATGGTTTTGGTTTTGCTTCATGGCATACTGTAATTTATTAATGATTCCCATATTAATAGTTATCTAATTTTTAAAAAATTTTTGTATTAACCGGCAATGCTAATGAATATCCCTGTACATATTACATTATGTACACGTATATTTTAGATGGCTGAGTTCTTTAGATGTAGAATTTCTAAGTTAAAGAGTATAAGCATTTTCCACTTAGATGTTGTTGTTGTTATGTGCCATCAAGTTGGACCTGACTCATTATGACCCCTCCTTGGGTTTCTGAGGCAGTATCACTACAGAAGTAGATTGCCCAACCTTCCTTCTGAGAAGTGGCTAGTAGGTTTGAACTGCCAGCTTTCTGGTTAGCAGTCAAGCGCTTAGGCACTACGCTACAAGAGCTCCCTTCCATTTAGATAGATGCTACTAAATTGTTCTAAATGGCTATGACAAACTTATACTCACTACAACAAAGTACAAGAGTGCTTACTGACCTCGGGCTCTGGAGATGCAGTGCCTAAGACATGTGACTGCTAACCAGAAGGCTGATGGTTCAAGCCCACCAGCTACTCCTTGGAAGGAAGATAGGGCAATCTACCTCTGTAGAGATACCACCTCAGAAACCCAAGGAGGGGTCGCTATGAGAGTTGGGATAGACTTGACAGCAGTAGCTTTTTTTCTCATTGACCTAGACTCTTCCCAACACTGAATATTATAATTTTTAAAGTGTATAAAATGATGAGTGATTTTTAAATTTGTGTATTTATTATATTTAAGTTTTACTTCTATTATTAATAATCAAACTATAGATTTTTTCAAGCCATATGTTTGAATCAACTTGGAAGTGGGTCCTCTGGCCTTAGCTGAGCCACCCCAGCTGATACTATGTGGAAAAGAGACAAGTTGTCCTGCCAAGCCCTATGCAAACTGTAGAATTCTAAGCAAATAAATAATTGGTGCTATTTTAGCCACTAAAGTTTTTGTTTTTTTCATTCAACCTTAGGTAACTGATACAAGAAGTAACAAGATATGCTGAGGGATTCAGTGTGGAGTATGAAAGAGAATGATCCCAAAGTTCTGGACCTGGGCAACTGAAAGGACAAAGTTCCCATTCAAAGAGACATGAAGACTGTAAGGAGCAGTACTGAGGGTGGGTGGCAGGTGTGGGAAACAAGATGTCCATTTTTGGATGAATTAAATTTGAGATGACCATTGAGATATATGGGGCTCTGGAAGCACAGTGCGTAAGGCATCTGAGTGCTAACCGGAATGTTGGTGGTTCAAACCTACCAGCCACTCTGTGGAAGCAAGACTGGCAACCTACTTCTACAAAGATTTACTGCCTCCGAAATACAATGGGAGTTGTTATGAGTTGGAATAGACTCGACGGCAGTTGGTTTCGTTTGATTTGGTTATTGAGACTACGAGTGGAGACTAGAGATCTTCTAGGATACTGGTTTTCAAATGTTTTGACAAGAACCACTTGTTAGAAGTTAGTATCTAGCCCAAGACAAAATGTTTGTATGTGTGTGTATGTGTAAAAGTAAAACTAAAGTTTCATAAAACAATAATTATCTAAGTTATTTGACCACCTTTTGATGAGTCTAAGGAACTTGGGTGACACAGTGGTTAAAGCATTCAGCTGCTTACCAAAAGGTTGCTGGTTCAAACCTACTAGATGTTCCCTCCGCAGGGGAAAGGTAAGGCAGTCTGCTTTCAAAACGATTTACAGCCTAAGAAACTCTAAGTTTCTAAGTTCTGCTCTGTCCTATAGTGTTGCTATGAGTCAGAATTGATTCAGTGGCACTTGGTTTGGATCAATAAGCCTTAGCCTATAGTTTGAAAAACAGTTGATGTACACAAAGTGTACTGAGAGAAAAAAGAAAATCCGTTAAGAATTGAGTCCTGGAGCACTGTAATGTTTAGAGGCACCAGCAAAGAAGAGTGAGGAATGGCCAGTGACATAAGATGAACACAAGATAGAGAGTGGCTGCTAAGCAAAATGAATAGTGTTTCAAGAAGAAAAGTGAATTAAATGCAGGATATGTCAATTAAGATTGAGGATGAGAACTAAATTACTTCAATAGAATTATAGAAACAAAAGCCTGATGGAGTAGATTCAAGAGAGAATGAGAGTCTTCCCAAGATGGTAAATCAGCACAGTTTACAGCTCTCTAGCACCAAAACTGATTATGAAGAAACCATAAAGGAAAATACAGCATCCAAGAAATTAAAAAAGTGAGAAATCCAGTGGAGACAGAAAGGTGTTTTAAATTGGTATGTGCATGTGTATAGGAGGTGACACTGAAGGGAGGAGGTATGGGTTGCAGCACAGGGAAAAGAGTGACAGGTAACAGGTGAGAGGGTAAGTTAGAGATAGTATTCAAGTTTTGTTCCTTCCTCTTCTTCATCAGTGACTCAAAACAATACTGTCTGCCTCCATGCTACAATAATAGGTGTAATGAAAAGGATGTGGAACGAAGAAATCTTTTACATATTGCTCATATGTAAATTTTTACAAGTGCCGTGGAAAACAATTAGGTGTTATTTATAATGATACTAATAGTATACTCTACGATCCAGTTAATTCCACACTTAGGTAAATCTTCAAATGAAACTCTTACACAGGATCACTGTAACACTCAGTAGTAGCTTTTCCCAAAATTACTTATAATAACAAAAAAGTTGAAATTGTCCAACTCACCACTATACCACACTCAGTTTATGTGCCTCCTCAGATTCACTTGAGACCATCTTCCCCCTAGCCCTGTTACTGCTGCATTTACCTTGTCTTCTATTATGATCAGTTCTCTCAGGCTCTTGTGGAGTAAAGGCTGGTCTTGGGCATGGTGAACATGCTCCACATAGTGCAAGCTATAGCATCTCAGGAGCTTATGTGTGACCTACCTAGATCACCGAGACACTAAATCTTTTCACTACTTCTGGGGTTCAAGTGAAGTGCTGTGCTACAGAGTAAGGGAATTGGCTTCCCCAACAGCTGCTCAGATTTGGGGCAGTTAACCCCCATGGGAAGACTCTAATTAACAAGAGACAGCAGACTAAAAGAGGTCAGTAGATAAATTCTTCTCTTTCCCCCGCCTTGGATGGCAAGAGCCAAAGTACAATGGTTCTATATCACCTGTCTGGAACACTGCCCTACATGATAAGCAACTGGCTGTATTTTCTTATGAAACTACAGCCAGCTCAGAAAATATAATCTTGTATTGACTTTCCCTTACTCCCTGCTTCACTTTCTATTTTCACTCACTCTTGAATTCCTGGGGTCATACCTCCCAATAAAACCTTAGCTCATTTTTCCTTCATGTTCTGACTGAACAATTATCGACTGAAAAATGGATAAATTGTGGTTTATTTACCACAGAGGTGAAATGAATGCACTTCATTCAGCTCTAGGTAAATGTACAGATAAGTCTCAGAAAAAGGATACTGAGTAAAAAAATAAGTATTTAAAAGACTGAATACAGCCCAATATCCTTTTACCAAGTTTCAAAACAAGTAATACTAAAAATATTTAGACACATGTATGTGATTAAATAAATTTTTGAAGGCAAAAGAATGAGAACATAAATTATTGATGTTATAGTTCTTGGGCTGGGTAATAAGTTTACTAGTTTTCATGGTATAAATAAAAGAATAAATAAAATTAAAACAAATAAAGGTCACACATGAACAAATAATGACAGTGTGTTATGAGCCTAAGGATTATGATAGAAATCCTGTATATCTGATCACCATGCACTTCAATAACAACAAAAAGTAGTAGTAAAGAAAAAAACAAACCAAAAGCAAAATGACCAAAAGAAAAAGAGAGGAATGCTAGAAGAAATGGAAATGGCAAATAAAGAGACACTAAGATTCATTTTTCAGGTTTTGACTAAAGCCAAGGTTTAACACTTAACATTTTCAAGTATGTAGAAATTTAGAAGTCTGTCAGAAAGAAACTGACATCAAAATGGTGTGAAAAACAATAGACTTCTTTTTACTTACTGCTAAAAGTTTATCTCCAATCTGAAGTTTGCCATCTTTATGTGCTGCACCTCCTTCAATTATTTTGGTTACATAGATACTATTATCCCCAGGAATATGCTGATTTCCAACACCTCCTGCAATGCTGAACCCAAGACCTGGTTGGAAAACACTAGTTTTAGAGTCTTATCAATAAATGTAAACTTAAAAGCCCAGAAAAAAATGAGTGAAAATGAAGTTATAATTTCATCATATTAATGTGTCTAGAAATAGAAATGATCTAGCTTACTAACTACTTTTAAAATCCTATGTATCTATCCTGCAATTAGGGGACAATTATAAACATAGGCATTCCTAAAGTTATAAATTGATTTCTTTTTTTAAAAATAAATTCCTGGGATCCTTAAAATCTCTTTATAGATGCATGTGTTTGTTAGTCCAAAGAGACACTGTCAAATTATGAAAAATGATGTTTTACTTTTGGTTCCATCAAAATGTACTTCTTAGCAATACTTTTAATACCATCATAAGATTAAAATAACTGAGGAAAAAACAAGGAAATTATTAATTAGTGGTGTGCAGAACTGACAGGCTTTAGAAATGATGTATACCACTTTGTTCTTTTTCTAATATTCTATGAATTTACAAATTTAAATAATTTTTATAGTTCATAATCTCACAGTTTAATACTAGATGAATTCCTAGCTGTTCTTTATTTGTTGAACTCTTGAAATCCCACCTCTTCCATGAAGCACCATGTTAGACACAAAAGTTCTATTTACTCTAAATATCACCATGTTAAAACTCAGAAATCATATTTTAACAGTCTACAATGCAGAAGAAACTGTTCATGACACACCCATTTATACCTTCTTTTAACTTAGCCTTAGTATCTGCATTTAATGTACTTTATAGAGGAATGAATACAAGTTAATATAACACTATACTTGCCTTCAAGTTCAAGGGCAAGAATATTTCATTTCTTTTAATGCTAAAAGTCTTTCATATACTAGTATTTAATACAGACAGGGACAAACTGATTTATAAGTAAGTTGAGATTTTGTTCTCTACTTTTTAAAGCTATCTATTAAAGATATGTTATAGAAATTTTAAATATAAAAATCACATGGAACTTACTCTTAAATTATAAAGCTACTATACGACCACAGCAGTAAAATATACATGAAGTATGTATAGACTAACATAAAGGACTTTTTAAAAGAATCTTGGTAGGAATGTAGATATTGTGGAATTCTACTTAAGGCAAAATTCAGTAGAAATAACAAAAATTCTAAATATTCACACAAATTCTGTAGAACATTATAGCACTGTCAATCTTAGAACATGTGTCATAGATAAGTTCACAGTTACATTTAACTCAGAGGCTTCTTATTTAACAATTGGTTATCACATACCTTTAGGACCTTTAATGAGCTTTATTTCCATTATTTTTTCTGATACCGGTTTCCGTCTTTTTACATACAAGCGTACAATAGACCCTGCTTCCTTCAATGCTTCGACTGCTTTGCTATGTGTGACATCACGAACATCTACTTCATTTACTCGTAATATACAGTCATTGACCCTGAGGGGGAAAAAAATAGTAAAAAACACAATTTTAGAAACTGATTTTTTACTTTGCCCATTTTTCTTATCATCATTTTTAATATGAAGAGAATAATTATTTACTCCAGAAAACATAAATAAACTGCATATTAAAGTCCAATTTATAAAATACTAATATAAATAAATACAAACATTTCCCAGAGATCAGCAAAAGGAACAAGAGTAATAGTGTAAACAGTATTTAAGTAAATAAGTTACCATTTGTATGCCTTTTTCATGCCTATTATGAGTAGGCATTAAGATATTTCATGAAAATAGCAAACACCTTATTTAACACTAAACCTATGCTACATACATCTTTTGATGTTTTAACTCTAACAACAACCTTTAAGGGAGATACATATTTTTAACCCCATTTTACAGACGGAGAGACTGAGGCACAAAGAGTTCAAATAACTTTTCCAAGTCTATCTAGGTAAAAGTGATAGAGCTATTAAAGCTAAGACAATTGAGACTCAGATACATTTAATAATAGTTTAAGGTCAGAGTTAGTAAATGGCAAAACTGGTGCCTTTTCTACCCGAGATACTAAAATTAAAAGAATAAAGTTATTTCTTAAAATTTATACCTGTTAATAATTAGGTCATTTAACTCAAAGATTTCTTATGTAAATAATTTATCTAAATTTGACATAGTTTTTTTTTTTTTTTAAAGTCTGATTAGCTCTACCATTCTCCCTAAATCTGGCCTCAGTTTCTACTGCATGGTCTTTATTCCACTACAAAAGAAAAAGGTAGTCATCTCAAATTGGGCAGGGATGAGGAAGAAAACAATCGAAATATTAAAACTGACCCTGATAAGTTCCTATACAAATTAATTTTCCTTGGAACAAAGAAATCCTATATTCAGACAACAATAACTAAGAAGTTAGTACCAAGTTTTTCCAGTGAAACAAACAGAACATAGTAATTTTCACATAAGTGGCACAAATAAACAGTCAGGTACAGAAATAGGATGTTAATGTCAACATTTATATGAATGGTCAAATGATTAATTCTCACATCTAATTTATTATGGGAGCTCCGGTGGCGTAGTGCCTAAGGCATTTGACTGCTAACTAGAAGGATGGCAGTTTAAACCCACCAGCCACCCTTTCCAAGGAAGACTGGGCAATCTACTTCCATAGTGACACTGCCTTGGAAACCCAAGGAGGGGTCACTATGAGTTGAATCCGACTCGACGGCAATGAGTTAACTTAATATGTTGTTGTTGCTATGTGCCGTCGAGTTATGTGCCATCGAGTCAGACCCGACCCACAGCAACCCTTCCTTGGGTTTCCGAGGCAGTATCACTACGGAAGTAGATTGCCCCATCTTCCTTCCAAGGAGTGGCTGATGGGCTTGAACCACCAGCCTTCGGGTTAGCAGTCAAGTGCCTTAGGCACTACACTACCAGAGCTCCCTAATTTAATATAGTTAATACGGTACCAGGAGCTCTGGTAGCGTAGTGCCTAAGGCATTGGGCAAACCAGAAAGCTGGCGGTTCAAACCCACCAGCCACTCCTTGGAAGGAAGGTTGGGCAATCTACTTCTGCAGTGATACTGCCTCAGAAACCCAAGGAGGGGTCGCTATGAGTAGGGGCTGACTCGACAGCATAGAACAACAACAACAGCAACAACAAATATAGTACCTATCATATTCAATGAGAAGTTTAGAAACTGGAGAGTTGCATAAGGCACCAATACCCTTAAAATAAAGATGCTGACTTAACAGACCATGCAACAATCCTTAGGCATAAAATGGTTAGACTGTCTTATATATGAAAAACAAGAAAAAGGAAAAGGACCATAATCTATGGCCTAAGGAAACAACCAAGTATTCTAAAGACATCTTCCAAAACGGAACTAAATTTAAACAAGAGGCAATTGCTATTTTTATCTACTCAATTAAGAAAATTTATTTAAGTTTGTATATTTTATTCTTTGGGGTATGAGATAAAAACAGATATACATGATCTTCTGTATCTTTAAAGTTACATGAATGTTTCTCATACAGAAAAGAAATGGAAAACATTTTGAGAATGCATTTTAAAACAGGAATGGAATCCTATGATTTCTATAAATTTCCTCACAAACAATTATTTAAGTTATCAATCAAAATGATTCAAAATGTTGAATTCCTAAAAGAAAAGAGGGAAACATGCTTAGGGCACAATTATCCCATTCATTCATTTGAATGTTGTTGACCATCTACTCTATGTTAGTTACAACTGTAATGATGTTTCTTACTTACATTTATCCCTCATCCAATTTACTTTAAGAAAAACATACAAAGTGGATTCAGCATCACAACATAAAAGTACAAAACATACCGCAATCTTCCATCTTGAGCAGCTGCTCCTCCTGCAATAATTTTGGTAATGAAAATACTTGAGTCATCTCCAATGTGTGGGTTGTCTGTGCCTCCTGCAATGCTGAAACCAAGCCCCGAATTCCCCTGGGGATAGAGGAAAAGAAAATTCTAAGACTAGGTGTAAACAGATAAAAATTGATTAAATTCAATAATGTATATAATTATGAAAATAATGTATGGATTATACACATACATATTTTTTAAATATACAACATTCCAAAGCCTAATAGAAATTATCTTTATCAATAGGTTTCTGTCATTGTAGGACCTAGAAACTACATTAACACAGGAATATACAGACAAAGGTATGAGTGTGAGAAATATGAAGATTTTAAATTAAGAAATGAACATGCCCCTATGTAAGAAAAGTCTGTTTCTCTACAAAAAATTCAGTGGCATTATAGTTGAGGTTGGTGAGGCTGAAGAAAATGTACTTAGTACACTGGTTCTTTCTTAGTCTATAGTTCTTTCATCAAAGTATGTGTAATCTGTTTGTTGATTAATCACCCTTTTGGAGAGCTACCACTACAAATTTCTTTCTTTTATATTCAACCTAACCTGTGTTTAGTAAGAAATATCTCCTAAGAGAAGAATACTGATTTGTCTATTGTTATTATTTCTCAGTTGGTAAAACCCATGTATTATTTCAGCCTTTCAAAAAAAGGTTGCTTTTGCCATCAGCTATTTTAAAAAACTAAACTGTAGTTGCTAAATGACAGCTATCATTTGTCTTTGACATGTTTAGCCAATATACTTGAACAGTAAAAGTCATCATTTTTCACTACTATAAGCCTAAACTGAGAACTTAAAACTGATGAGTTTTCTTGGTAGCAAAGTAAATTTTGACAGAGTAGCTCTACATTTTGTTTGTTTTACATACAGGATTTAAATTTATTTATTTATTTATTTTTAATAAAGGGTTCTGCTGTTACAAAAAGTCTTTAAGAAGAATTTTTCTTAATGATATAAAAAACGTTTTTTGGCAAGAATGTTCTGACTTTCAGGCAACTCAAGAGAATGGTTATATCTGGGCCTATCTCATAACTGTTAATATTAAATAAACTAAACACACATTCTACCATGGTTCCAGAAATCATATTTTAATTAAGGAATATTTTTTCAATATCAACTGATTAAGAGTTACTGGAGTCTCAATAATAGTACCAACAAATTACGTGAGGTCATCAAGTTACTCAGGTATCTAAGTTCTTCAATTGAGTTAAAAAAAAAAAAATTTATATAGATATATATATATATATCTATATAAACACCATTGCATCGAGTTGATTCAAACTCATAGCAATATTGTCCTGACTAAATAAAAGTAAGTGGTAAGTCACTGGGAAAGAATGAAGAGTAAAATAAAAATGCTTAGCAGATGTCACAAAATACCCTATTAAAAATATATGTAACAATATGCTAATAATGCACTTACTTGAAAGTTATTCGGGCATCGACCTCACTTGAACAGTGACTTAAAATTCAAGTTAGAGGCAATAAAGATCTGTCATATATGTAGAAAAACCTACTAGGGTCTATTCTGACTTCAAACATAAACAAATCTAATTATCCCTGATTTTAGTCTTAAACATACAGACATTACTCTTGCCTTGCACCTATCTTCAGTGCTCATTACTGAAAGATGTATATTGTTAACACATAAAACAGCTGGACAGCAGATTTTTTCACTGTTGTAAATGCAAGAAATGTCGGATAATGAAACAGTCGATAAATGAGCTTTAGATATACAGTGATGATATAAGACATTAAAAGTAAGGGAAACTGAGTCCAGAGTAAACTGAGAACTCTACTATATTTGTAACTTTTCTGTAAATCTAAAACTATTTTAAAATAAAAGTTTATTACAATTTTTTTTTAAAAAAAGGTTAAGAAAATTAACATGTTCTGAAAATATTATGGCTAATTTTATTATCTGTGAATTTAAAAATGAAATCATTATTATATGATTGTTTTATAGAATGATTTTCCTTGAATTCCATAGGAAAGAGCAGTGTATTTAAAGAGTTCTTTAAAACAAGATTTATCCATAGCAAATTAAAGGTAATTAATTTTTACCCTTTCAAGTGTAATTTCTTCATATTCATAATCTGCATCAGTACCATTAACCTAGTGGAGGGAAAGAAGAAATTCAGAATGTAAAATATGAAATGACTAGACAATTTTTGCATGATTTATTACAATTATGACAGTAATCAAATTACAGAAAAAAAAAAAAAACCACCAGTTGTCATCGAGTTGTTTCTGACTCACGATGACCCCATGTGTTTCAGAGTATAACTGTGCTCTATAAGGTTTTCAATGGTTGTGATCTTCCAGAAGTAGACTGTCAAACCTTTTTCTGCCGTGCCTCTGGGCGTGTTTGATCTCTCAACCTTTCAGTTAGTAGCTGAATGGTTAACTGCTTGCACCATCTAGAGACTAAATGCATTTTAATAATTTTAGGGAAGATTTTATAAAGTTAGTTTCAGAGTAATCAAAAGTTTTTCAAGGAGTAGAAGAGGACAAAAGTGATCAATGAGTTGACATTCATCACATCAGGAATTTTAAATACAGGAAGGTACATTTAGGTTTTTTTTATTATTGAACTGTAATTTTTTCCTTTCATCTACACATCTAAACAATTGCAAATTTTTACCGATTTGAATGTTGTACTTCCAATTTTCCTGAAAACCATTCTCTCTTCATTTTCATTTCTATTACCTTGGTTCACAGCCCTTGTACTATTGTCAATGCAATCTACCCCACCATCCAAATAATTCTATGTGTTTTAAAGATCTGTCTTCTTGAAGCTTATGTTTAATATAACATACCTCCTTCAAAAATCTCATGCATTCTTCTTTTAAAAAAAACTTTTTGGCTTGGTAATAATGCTCTCTATGAACTAATTCCAATTTATCACTTTAGTTTCATTCCTAATATCCGTATCTCACTTCTTCATGCACCTAACATACCATCCAATGTGAATTACTGGCTCTTTTCCCTTTACATATGCTGCTGTTTCTCATTTCCATAACTGTGTAACTTTAGTGTGGCCTCTATCACAAATATCACTTAGAAATTTCATGTCCAAATCTGATCCACTATTCAAGATCTTGCTCAAATCTTACCTACAGTCTTAACTAAATAAAAGGAAAAGCATGAGAAAGGATGGGGGAAAAAAAAAAAAAAAGAATACTCTTATTCTCTCCAATTTATTCCCTATTCCCTTCTGGAAAAAATAACTCTCAAATTGATGGCCACTAGATACTCCTCGGAAGGAAGGTTAGGCAATCTACTTCTGTAGTGATAACCGCCTCGGAAACCCAAGGAGGGGTCACTATGAGTTGGGGCCGACTCAATGGCACATAACAACAACAACAACAACAACAGTAAAATGTAAGAATTCACTGGAATCAGATTAACCTGGGTTCAAATCCTGTCTGACCATTTCTAGTGATATGAAGCTGGGCAAAAATACTCAATCTCTCTAAATCAAGTGAAGTTGTGATAAATTGGATTTCAAAAGGTACATTACATCTTCCATCCAACATGTTCTTTTGCAGTATGAATGAATGGTCTCATCATCAAGAGGTAGAGTTTATTCCCCTTCCCTTAAATCTCAGCAGATCCTGTAACTAGCTTTGGTAAAAAGAATGTGATACACACGATACTATATGATTTTTGATGTTTGGTCATGTGATGCCTTGTCATATTTACACTTGTCTCTTAGAATGCACTTTTTTAGAGCTTAGTCACCATAATGTGAGGAAGCTCAAACAACCTACAGGGAGATTCAAATGAAGTAGAATCAAAGATCTCAGACAAAAGCCCCAGTTTTGCTCCTAATGAGCAGCCAGCCACATAAATGAGTTTTTTGGGATTTTCCAGCCTTTTCTGGTGCCTCAGCCACTACCAGTTGAAGCAGAAGAACCATGCAGTTAATGCAGAAAATCATGAGAAATAATAAATTGCTGTTCTTTTAAGCTAGGACGTTTCAGGGTGGTTTGTTATACAAAGTAATATAACCACAACAGAAATAATAAATTTCATGTGAGTTGCTTTGCTTGCTTCACCATACTGTAGGAAAGTGGTCCTAAAAATAATTTAGGTCCAGTTCAGGTCTCAGGAGTTTTTTTTCCTTGAGGGCTTTAGAAATCCATCTTTGCTGTTTTTCTGGATTCTTAGTTATTATGGATTTCATGATTTCAACACACTATTACCACTTTGTTTCCTCTTCTTTCTCACCTAAGGAGATTTAACCTTTTGTTTTAAAATGATAAAGTATAAATGCATTTACATATATTTTAAATAGTATTATTTCTATGCAAAATAAAATCCCTAGCTTCAGCTACACTTCCTTTCTTATTCTAAAAATTATCTGCATCATTATTTTGCATTTACAAAGTGGTCATTTCAACACTGATAATATATATGCAGAATGACCACTCTATGTTGTGGCTTTATCTTTTATCAATTCCTTATTCTTTTTTTAAAAAAAATGTTTCTGGAATTAAATGCTTAATTTATTTATTTATGCTTACTATTATCTGTTTTTTAAAATACACAACAAACTTTATAAATTTTCCTTTGCAGCTGGTTTTGATTGAATCCCATAACTGCTATACTGACCTCCCTTTTTGTTCATTTATTTACTTCTAAACAGTCTGCAATTTTATTCTAGAAAATATTTTCAAATAACTGTGCTTATATGGCCCTTTTGGTATTAGTACCCAAGTTTTGTGACTAAGGCCTTATAGTTTTTGCTTTTAGAAATTTAAGATTTTCACTATTAAAACTTTTCACAAGACAGGTATTTAGTAAATGACCCTAGAGCTTAATGTAACAGCAAGTCATGATAAATTGATATCTGGGTGAGGTTTCCAGGTAGCATGTTGTGTTGTTGTTATATGCCATCAAGTCAGCCCTGACTCATAGCGACCCCTCCTTGGGTTTCCGAGGCAGTACCACTACGGAAGTACGATTGCCCATCCTTCCTTCCATCCGAGGAGTGGCTAGTGGGTTTGAACCTCCAGCCTTCTGGTTAGCAGTCAAGTGCCTTAGGCACTATGATACCAGAGATCCTGAGATTGAAGGAACAAAAAAAAATGAAATGTGACAAAGAGTTCATATGGACAGAGTGACTTTTTTCCAAAACCCTCATTAACCTGAAACTGTTTGAGAATTCCAAAAATATATAAAGAATTCAATGACAACATTAAACACATTCACAACAGGCTTCTAAGGGCAGAGAATACATTACCAAAAACACACATTACAGTACAAGAACCAGTGTAAAGAACAATGGTAACGTGGTATTTTAAAAGATAATTATCTTTCCCAGCAAAATTGCACAATGGTTGGTTTGTTTAGTTTATTCTTTATATCTTTATAAAATGTGGATTCCAATAGGAAAGAAATGCTTGGCCGGAGGGTTTATCACTTTCAGTTAACAGACAGGATGAAGGATAAGTTGGGAACAGAGAAAAGAGTAAGAGTTCAGTCTTTAGATAAAATTAATATACTGACAAAATATATGGTTATTTTTTCTCTTTGAAAATATGAGAGTGGATTTAGAATACTGTGTTTTAAAAATTGTGATGTGGGTGAAAGTTTACAGAGCAAATTCACTTTCCATACAGCAACTCACATAGAATACCATTTTTTTGCATATAGTATGTTCACATACATAATGTGCATGTGCATATAATGTACATAGCATGCAGAAAAATCTAATGTGGCAAGGGACTGTGCTATTTGCAAACAACCAAAAAACACCATATAATGTATATGTTATCTGTGTAAAAAACACAGTAGTGCTTGAGAACACCTGGCAGTTGGAGAAATGTTATTGCTCACATTTGGTAGGGTTTGAATTTAGTCCTAGCAACTAAATGGGATTTTGTGTACAGGGTGGTAGGTGGAGAAGAAATTATTTGTGAATTGGGGTCTGATTATGGAAAGTCTTGAATGATTTCATAAGGAGTTAAAAATATCGGGCATTCTGCAAACTTTTTTAGTATCAGGTTTTCAAGAAAAAGAACTATGGCTGTAATAAAACAGAAATGAAGAGAATTTGGATAAAGAAATTATGTCAGTAGCCAAGGTAAAAAAAAAAAAAAAACAGATTCTAAAGATATTTAAAGAGTAGGTGACAAGTTCTTAAAATATGGGGGAAAAAATCCTAATATTTCTGGGGAAAAACCCACAAAACCATATAACTAAGAACAACGAAAGTATAATAAACATGAACAGGAAAAATAATCAGGGTATACAACACACATCAAAAGTAAGTTGTACCCCACTGATCTAACTGAACTACGCATATAAACTACTAAAACTTTTCACAAGGTAGGTATTTAGTAAATGACCCTAGAGCTTAATGTGACTGCAAGAAATAATAAATTGCTGTTCTTTTAAGCTAGGACGTTTCAGGGTGGTTTGTTACACAAAATAATATAACCACAATAGAAATAATGTGTAATTATTTAATTACGAATGTTTAATAATGTTTTACTCTCTAATACTGAAATCCCCCATGATCATTTTTATTTTCAACTTTGTCTGTTCTTGAGTGTTTACTTTTCTGTATCAACACTGTGCAACCGAACTTTCTGAAACAACAGACATGTTCTATTATCTGTCCAATATAGTAGTTACTAACCACATACAGCATCTGAAATGTAGCTAGTGCAACAGAAAAATTAATTTTTAAAATTTAATTTAATTTTAATTTAACAGCAGCATGTGATTAGTAGATACTCTATTGGATGGTGCAAATCTAGATGAATGCTTTCATTAATTCCAACCCTACCCCTCCAAAGCAGTCATACACACATCTTTTTTGGGGCTGTGATTGGTACTATACCAGATTTATAAATTAGTCTGAGGAAAATAAAGATCTTTACGTTATTGTCCTACTCAGCAACAAGGTATGCTCTTCACTTACTTGAGTATTCTTTCATGCCACCTATAGTTTTCCTCCAACTAACTCTATACATATATTATTATTCTTTTTTTTTTTAATTGTGATTTGGGTGAAAATTTACAGAGCAAATATACTTTCCATACAGCAGTTCACATACACTTTGTCTCATGACATTGACAATTTAGCACAATGCAACATCTCCTCTCCCACATCCTCCCGATAGTTACCTCTTCCCTGTGTCCATCTCTCTGTGCACTCCTACCCCCTGAGCTGTCTCCCTGTGCCTGAGCAGCCCTTCTTTCTCTCATGCTTATTCTCTCCAAGGAGTGTATCTACCTCAGGTAAATGCTCAACTGATATACCTGTCTATTGTTTGGCTGGAAGCCACAGGTGTGTGTGTTTTTGTTGCCATAGTTAATAGCCTCACATTTCCAACTGCTTGTTGCTAGTATAATAGAATAGTATTCATTGTTTAACTTTTAAAGTATATATATTTCTCTTTAATATAATTTTGCTTTAATTATGGGTACATATATGTCATAAAGAAGCAGAAAAATTTATAATATAATATCTTCAGTCCCTTATTGGCACAGACACTTTAATTTTCTAATCACTCAATAGTAATATATATAAATATAAATATAAATATATATATATATATGACAAATCCTATTATGTAAAAGTTATAACATTTGCCCAAAGGAAGAAAAACAGAAGCTTAATTTACTAATTCCCAGTTGTTAAGGTTCAATTCAGTAATACTGTTCTAACTATAAGGAGCTTTGATGGTGGATTGCCTAAGGCATTTGACTGCTAACCAGACGGCCGGCAGTTCAAATCCACCAGCCACTCCGCAGAAAGAAGAATGGCAATCTATTTCCCTAAAGATTTTCCATCTCAGAAACCCAAAGGGGGTCACTATGAGTTGGAATTGACTTGATGGCAGTGAGCTTGGTTTGGTTTTTGGTTCTAACTATGGAGTAATATATAAAAATTTAAGATTTTATCTGTCAATATTCATGACTCATGGTTCATATTAATGCATAAACTCAGGCAATTACAAAACCTCAAAGTCTATACCATCACAAAGCAAGAATCCCAAAATAAAAATGCACTGAGAAGAAAAAATGTTCTTCCTAATTAAAAATTGGGAGCTCTGGTAGCATAGTGCCTAAGGCACTTGACTGCTAACCAGAAGGCTGGCGGTACAAACCCACCAGCCACTCCTCAGAAGGAAGATGGGGCAATCTACTTCTGTAGTGATACTGCCTTGGAAACCCAAGGAGGGGTCGCTATGAGTCGGATACGACTCGATGGCACATAACAACAACAACAATTAAAAATTAAGATAACTAAATACAAAGTAGAAACTTTAAAATTTTTCCTAAATAATGAATGGACATTCAGGTCGATTTTAAAATATCATAGTTATCAATTATATTACATATGGAAGAGCTGAAGCATTTAGTATGTAAGAAAGCTACCAAAATCAGACTGAATGCATTTTCCCAACCGTTACTTTTCACAGTGTGCCTTAAGGAAAATAAAGACAAGGGGACAAAAAGAAATTATTTCAATAGTTTTACTTCCTTTCCAAACTGTAGCTAGTAAAGTATTCCAGAGTATTTGCTATGGTTTATGCACCTCTTCTTTCAACATTATTATTAGTTAAGAACAGGAGTACACAGAGAGTGAGAAAATTAAAGTTAATGTCACTGAATTTTAGCATCAGCTGATACTTACAAGTGAGTTCAATGGATCATTAATGGTAAAGTACTGAAAGTTTCCACCCTAAGATTGGGAATAAGACAAGAATGTCTGCCCTTACCACTTCTATTAATCATCGTACTGGAAGTCTAGTCAAGGTAAGTAGGCAAGAAAAAGATGAAAGAATCCAGATTGAAAAGAAAGGAAAGAAAAACTATCTCCCTATTAAGAGATATGATCTTGCATATAGCAAGTCCAAAGGAATAAACACATACACAAACACACTCATTATGATATATACACACTGCTGTTAGAATAAATGAGTTCAGCAAGGCTGCAGTACACAAGATCAATATCTAAAAATTAATTATATTTTCATGTGTTAGCAATAAAAACATCAAAAACAAAATTAAGAAAACAATTCCATTTACAATAGCATTAAAAAAGAATAAAACACTTAGGAATATATTTAACTAAAGAAGTAAAAGATCTGTATACTGAAAACTGTAAAACATTGCTGGAAGAAATTAAAAAAGACATAAATAAATGGAAAGATATCTACAATCACAGATTGGAAGATACAAAACATTGTTATGATAGCAATACTCCCCAAAACTATCTACAGATTCAATTAAAAATTTCACATGTCCTTTTTTGCAGAAATTGACAAGCTGATTCTAAAATACATATAGAAATGCAAAGGATCCAAAAGAGCCAAAATAAACTTGGAAAAAAAAAAACAAGAGAGTTGGAGGACATATTATAAAGCTACAGCAATCAAAACTATGTGATACTGGCATAAGGATATTGAGTCTTATTTGAAGTTTTACAATATCCTCAAATAGTTAATTCATGTAAATGCAAACAGAATATAAAGCCAAATAGAATTTTTAAAGTACAGATAGAAAATTAACTGTAATTTAAAATTTGGATGAAAGGATTTTTAGTCTATAAAATTATATACAATGGATTTTTTTTTTTCCCTCCAAAAAAAATGCAATGTATGGGCACTACTTCTACTTAAACATCTCTAAAGATACTTATATTTGGGACAAAAAATGTTAGTTGAGATTCTTCTGTTCTAGTTATTCATCATTAAGGGAAAAAGGGCTTTTTAACAAAGTAAGTTTAGAGAAAATTACCATCAATCTAAAGCTACAAAATTATAACTAATTATCTTAGTATATGATCATACACACAAAACTACTTACTAAAAATTTAGTTCCTTAGACTTCCAAAATGATTCTCTGAATACATGGCATTTGTATAAAATGACTATTGATCAGAGATATTCTTCAGTGGAAGTTACTCATCATTATTTCAAAATAAAATCATAAATTTCTATGTCAACATTTCTGCTTTACTAAAAAAAGACAATTAAATGTTTTCTTCAAAATGGTTAGTATTGCTTCATTTAATACAATAACTACGGCTTAGTAATAGTTTTTTTTTTCATTATAACTAGAAAATAAATCTGTATTCAGGTCTTTGTTTTGCGTCAAAACTGAATAGGAAAGGCAGAATTATTTAAATATGAGAAGGAAATGGAACTTACATAAGTTGGTGTTTCCAAGCTATCTGTGTTGACCAGTACTGGAGGAGGATTTGCCTTTAAAGAAAGAATTTTAAGTTAGTTTAACAAGAAAATCATAGCATTATATATTAATGTTCAAAATTGTTAGCAGCATATATGAAAGACCTGTTATTTCTTAGATTGTAATTTTATATGAGCTTTTCATATGCTAAGACACATATCCATGTTCCAGCACTACAGGGAAAAAATTAGGTATAAGCAATTAAATTAGATTTGCCTTTTAAGAAATAAATTGCTACTTCTGCTAATACAGACCTAATTTTAAGCTGTGCAAAGAAGTTCACCATAGTCTTTTCATAAAATCCACCAATTGTCTTTAATATAACAACTCTTTCTAAGTTGCTTAGGAATCAGAGGCTTTTCTTTTCCCAGGGAAACCCATAAAAATTCCAATCATTTTATCATTCAGGGAGAAATAAAAAAGAAAATTCTTCCCCACAATGAATTGTTTGAACATGAAAAAAAGGTCTGCCACACACACAAAGAAATCGATCTAAAACTTGAGAAAATTGGAAACACACTTTTAATGTAAAAGCCCTATTTTTTTCTGCTAGCAATTATTGCTTTCCATCTGTTATTTTAGACCACTCACAGAATAACAATGGTCTATCACAGCCCAAAAACAAATAGAACAATATACATCTAATGAAGTTTAGATTGAAAAACAGCTAGGTTTTCAGGTTAAGTTTGTTGTTATTGTTAGTTACCACTGAGTTGATTCTGAATCATAGTGACCTCATGTGACAGAGAAGTGCTCCACAAGGTTTTGTAGGGTATAATCTTTCTGCGAGCAGATTCCCAGGTCTTTCTCCTATAGAGCTTCTAGATGGGTTCAAACCACCAACCTTTCAGTTAAGCAGCCAAGTGCTTAACTGTTGTGCCACTAGGGCTCTTGGCCTAAGTCAGTAGTTACTATTACATCAGAGAAACTAAAGAATAAAACACTGATACCAAATGAAAAAAAGTTACCTACCTGGTGTGATATTTCTCAGTTTATCTTTCTTCTGCATATTTAAGATTATGAAAATACCAGTATCAAATCACAATATTTCTATAGAATAAAATGGATGACGATTCTTTAAATAAATTTTAGCTGACCTTTTTATCAAAATTAAAATTGCAATTAACTGAACTAAGAAAATACAAAAAAGCAGTACAGAAGAACATTAAACATATTAAACAAAATAACCATTTTCTTCCAAATGTACAGGTTTTAAAAAAAGATGACTATTCCAAGTTCAAGTGCTTCATATTATTTTCAGCAAAGTATTAGATCTGGAGGATCAAATGATGAAATAGTTAAAGAGACAACACAGTTTCACAGTTAAATAACTATTCAGTATACATTTGGGCTACATAAAGCAGCTGGTTAAAAGTAGTAATATGTAATACGTAAGCATGACAACCTACTTTAAGTGCAGCCTCATCTTTGAGTATCACAGTGTAGCTTCCAATGATTCAGTGAAAAATCAAACCTAACAAACTTGCTACTATTTGTAAGATTGCTACTTACACAGTTACTCAACTTAGATATTTGAGATTTTATGAAAATCTGAAATCATTTCTTTCCTAATTATCTATGAGATTCTTCAAGTTGACAATATTTTACTTCACTTAAACAATTAATGGTGTAACTTCACCTTTTCTGCTTAAGTAATTACAAAGGAGGGCAAGAAAGAACACAATTACTTAAAGTTACAAAAGAAGTTACATAACTCAATAACTATGTCAAAAACACATTTGGTTTCCTGTGCTAAACATGCAGTGGGAAAAAATTGGTTCTCATCAAAATCTAATTTATGCCATAATTATTACAATGCTAGGAACTCTGGTGGTGTAGTGCCTAAGGTACTTGACTGCTAACCAGAAGGCTGGTGGTTCAAACCCACCAGCCACTCCTCAGAAGGAAGGTTGGGCAATCTACTTCTGTAGAGGTACTGCCTTGGAAACCCAAGGAGGGGTCACTATGCGTTGAATCAACTTGACAGCAGTGAGTGTGTTTTGGTTGGTTTATTACAATGTTAGCTGCTTAAAAGAAACAACTTATCATCATCATATAAAAGTTACCATTATGATCCATAGAGTTTTGAGTCAAGTCATTTCAAAAGTCTTGCTGATATTAAAACATACATGAACAAAATGATATGAGGTATTAATTACTTCAAAATAAAACAATGGGAGGTTGGGGATGGATGGGAGGAGTTATGGATCAAATACCCAAATATGGATAACAGTTGTAGTTGGGTGACGGGTACACGTGAGTTCACTGTACCTCAATTATCAACATAGTTAGGTTCTAAAGACCAAGTCACTATGTAAAAAACTGGCATTATGCAAAAGTGGAGCATGACAACATCATTATGTAACTGCCAAATTACATGGCTATGTAACTGCAAAATTGCATCATTACATAATTTCCAAACCACTGATAACCATGACACAGACAAGCTGACACATAATCTTACTGTGACAGCCAGTGTCTGTTACTACAGATGTATCTCACTGAAGAGCAAAACAGGTAGATAGATTTACTATTATCGTAAATGTGAAATGTCGGATAAAGACATATAGTTAGTAAGTGAGGAGTAGATGTAGTCTCTTTACATTTGAGTATTTTTTAAATTTTCCATAATGAAAAGTAAAGCAAAAAATCATATTGAGTCAAGTACTCAGTAAGAGACTAATTGTGGAGGCTGCTGTAAAATACCATGAATTAGAGTTGCTATTAAGATACTAGCATTCACAGCCTAAAACTGATTTTAGTGTTTGTATTAGTTTCCTAGGGCCACCTTAATAAATTACCACAAATTGAGATCAATTTATTCTAACACAGTTCTGGAGGCTTGTTGTTATTTGCCATTAAGTTAGCCCCAACTCATGGTCACCCCACACACAACAGAATGCTCTGTGGTCCTGTGCCATCTCCACAGTCAGTTGTGGCTCAGACCATTATGATCCACAGAGTTTTCAGTGGCTGATTTTCAGAAATATATTGACAGGTATTTCTTTGTAGCTCAACTTTGTCTGGAAACTCTGCTGAAACCTGGTCAGTGACACAGCAAACATTCAAATCACCACTGATAGTTGGCGGCTGCACATGAGGTGCGTTGGCTAGGAGCTGAACCCAAGTTTCCTTCATGGAAGACAAGAATTCTACCAAAGAACTCCCAATGTCCTCTGAACATTGCCATTCTCATGACCTGTTGCAGCTGTGGATCAGATCACTATGATCATTTCACTGGCTGATTATTAGAATTCCACCAATAGGCCCTTCTTCTTAGTCAGGCATTTATTCTTAGTTACAGACTAATAATAATAGTTCTGAAACCTGTTCAGCATCATAGCAAAATGCAAGCTTTCACTGACGGATGGTGGCTGTGTACACAATACTCTGGCTGGGATTTGAACCTGGGACTCCTGCATGGAAGGTGAGAATTTTACCACTGAAAACTCCACACACACCCCCATCAGACAAGGAATTTGAAATCAAGGTGTGGTAGGACCATGCTCCCTCTGAAGAACTCCACAGAAGAATTCTTCTTTGCCTCTTCTTAGCTTCTCCTGTTTGCCAGCAATCCTTGGTTTGTAGATAAAATCACTCCAATTTCTGCCTCCATTGTCAAATGGTATTGTGATTGCTGGGGCTATGTGTCAAGTTGGACGGTCCACGATCCTGAGTGGTTTATAAGCAGTTGTGATGTGGCTATTCCCATTATAAGATCATATGTATATGTTTTAAAGTCAATTTGATCAGAAATTAATATTGCCACTCCTACTCTCTTACAGTTGCCATTTGCTTGATATATCTTTTTCCAACCTTTGATTTTTAGTCTATTTTTGTCTTTATCTCTAAGGTGTGTCTCTTGTAGGCAGCATTATTGATGGGTTTTGTTTTCTTACCAATCTGCAACTCTCCTCCATCTCTTGAGTGGTACATTTAATCCATTAATATTCAGTGTAATTATTGACAGGTATGAATTTGTTGCTATCATTTTGGTATTTGTTTTTCTATGGTGTCCCTGGTTTCTTTGTTCCATATTATTTTCTGTGCTGAGCTCATTATGTTTATGAATCATGTTATCATTTCCTTTGCTGCTGCTGTAATAGTATATGCTGAATATTTGTGCTTGTCCTCTTTTTTATTGCCATGTGAAAGTTTATCATTTTTCTTTGAGGTTACCCAATGATTTATACATTTATCCCCAAGTTTAGAACAGTCCATTGTATCCTGCAATTCTCTTAACTTCCTCATCATTTAGAAGTTCTGTGACTACAGTTTTTTCCCTCTTTTTGTTTGTAGTTGTCCTCACTTGCCAACTGATGTCTCTGGTTCCCTGTTTACAGTATCTTGTAAGCTCATTTTACTTTGGATATGTCCATAGCTGTGGTTTCTGGGTTATGTCATCTTGTGTATTAATGGTCAGTTGTTATTTGCTATTTTTGGT